ATAACATAACATAACATAACATGTCGCAACATAGCATAACAAAGCATGATGTAGTCTAATTGCCTACGGTTTGAACAAAACCTAACATAACATAATACAACATAGTAGAATATAGTATAACAAGTTCATATGACATGGTATGATATCATACACTATAGTATAATATAGCAAGTTAACATGACATGACATGATATAATATACTAGTGTAATAAAGTATGACATAATATGATATAGCATTTTACAATATGATACGATGTGATATCATATGATACAATATGATATAGTCTGGTATATAATACACTACAACATATTACAATATGGTCTATTGAAATACAACATGCCCATTGTACAATAGTACTAGTATACCATAATATGACTGAAGTAAGTCTAATGTTATCCAATATAAAGTAAGACCATATAATGCAACGGAGCATAATATAAGGTAACATAAAATATCATGTTCCAGTATTATCTTATTCCGCATATGTATGCAAACGTAAATGCATACGTACGTACACACCTCTGTTCGCACATACAAAGACAACGAGGGCGCAAGGCCAGATGGATAGTAACTGGCTAGATAAAAAATAGATCGATAGATATGGGATGTGTCACCAGACAGGCTGACATGTGCATGTGTGTGCACCGGTAGGTATGTGTTGAGTTGCTTCATGCACCACAAAACAAGGGCATCCACTCCATCTTTCAACTTGTTCCCCAGTTGGCTACTGGCCTGCGGACTTTAGCATGACTGTGAACCTCACTTCGGGTTGAATCGCCAGAGAAGTAGACACGTCCGGCCTCTGCCTCCAGTCTCTGCACTGCTGCCTCCCATTGGCAAAGGCTAACCATCTCGAATTGTCGTCGCACTAGGACGTGCCAGTATGCCCGTGCCACGATGTATGCATCCATCCGAACATGAAAATCACCCTAGCGCAGTATGCCGCACTAGCCTCGAAGCGTTGCTGCAACTCACGGACTTGCTCTGCATGGGCAGCCTGCCGGTCTTGTACAGCATGACAATGGTTACCGTGTGTGTGGGTGCGTGTGAGCATGCGTTTGTGGTAGTGTGCAAGTGGTGCCAAGCCCGCTCTGGGGTGCCGGCAGCAAGCTGCAGCAAGGCCGTGTCCAGCCTGCTGGCCTCGCAAGCAGGGGCAGCACTTGTCAGCGAATGAATCGATGCAGCTGGCTAGCAAAGGGCAGCTGCTCACGAAATCTGGCCTGCGGTGGGATTGGCCTTTCCACACAGCAATGAGTTGACAACACATGCACAACTCCACATGCAACTGCAAAAGAGAAGGATGCTGTAGGTAAGCAGAGACTGAGCTTGGCACCTCTCATCATCATCAGCGACATCGCCCAGGGGTGCTGGAGTTCGGGTCGCTAACCTGGCATGATACGTTCACGAACATCGCATCGGAAACCCTGGACAGCTATGGCGGGAACCTGTCCGGCTCTGGAACCGGGCACACTGGCCGAGACAAGATCGGGTGCGTGCCACGAGACACCTTTGCAGTCCGTTTTTCTGCAAGCCTTCTCTCGAATGCCAAGCCAAGGCAAAGGCCGAGCGATCATGAGGCTTGAAAACCTGGCTCTCGTCTTCCATGGGGCTATCGAGGCATCTCGACTTTCGAGTCCTCACGGTTCCGAAGGGGCTTGAGCCGACGACAAGACAACGGCGAGGCCAGGCTGCAGCGTCGCAACATACCATGATGACATGAGTGGGCATGACCACATGCCAGTGTGTCCTGATGACTTCACATCTGTGGTGTCACGGTTTATAGGGAGGTAGAGACCCACAAAGGAGCATGCGAACCGCTGCAACCTAATAGCGTTGGCGAGCTGGGCAGGCAGACACGGGTGGTCACTTACTGATACGCAATCAGGCCATGCAGCACCTCGCAATCCCTGTCGGAAGCCAGCTCTGCCAAGTTCCACTGCTTGTTTTCCAGCCTGGGCTGTGGATTGTGCCTGTGCGCGCGTGCATGATCGCACATCCAGTTCTGCTGAGCCATGCGCTCGAAGCATTTCCGTCGAACCTGCATCCAACTCAACTGCAACAGTCAAAGTCCCGAAAACTCCAAGTGGCTTACCAAAGAAGGCTCGAAAAAAGGGGCTTGCATGATCAGCAGATGGCCCAGCTTAAAAACCCTACGGATCGGGCAGGCCTCCGAGAGCAGCGGGTCTGATCTAGCGAAGCGAAAGGCTGCACGCCTGCAAGCGGAAATTCATACAGGCTCCGCCCAACTCTGCAAACCCCCACCTGAGCTCGCATCCATCCTTTCGTGCTTCGAGCACGCTGCTGCGCCTCGAGCTGGCAGTTGGCACAGCTTGTGACATGTGGCATTGCAGCGCCGTGCCGTCGGCCAACTCAGCATCGAGCCATGGAGCGTAGAGCCGGGCCTCCTTCAGGTACTCATACTCCTCCGAAACAGGCCAAGATGGTGACACGAAGGCACAGCAGGCAGTCGGCAGAGCATCATACGTTGACTATGGTACGGAACACACTGCCACACTGGACTCCTTTCCAGGCATGGATGCCGCAGAAATTTCGCGGCAAGGAAAGGAATAGGAAACGTACAGCGTGCCTTTCTGCTCTGCGTGCTCTCGTTGGAAGCCGCAGCAGAAAAAGCCTTCGCGTGTGAAACGCCGACAGACGGCCGCTCAGGCCAACCGTCAAGCCTGACCAGGAGACCCTTCTGAAAGATGCACACAATTTGCATGAGCCGGGCAGGCTGTGCCCAGGGCAGAGTTTCAGGATTCGGTTGGGAAAGAGGATGCCGGCAAAGCCACGACATATCACGGCATGCTTCCGCCTGGACCTGGAACATCTGGCCGGGAGCCTCTGTTGGAAAGTTGAACCATTGACAAACCACAGCACTGTAGACCTTTGACAAGGTAATTCAGGGTAGCGACAACTCCGCCGGGGATCTGCACTGTGACTTGTCGTCCGTCTGGGGTGGTCACCATAACAGGCGTACCTGGGACAGGGTTATATTTGGTTGATTCCTGCTCGGTCCTCAGTTTACCGCACTGCACCAAACTCACACTCACAAAAATACGAATTGGACAGAATATGATCTGAGCAAAGCGAGATCAAACTGTATGACGCCGCCGCAGCAGCAGTACTTCTTACTGGTTCTCTTTCGGCTAGTCGTAATCGCCGTCGTCGCCGTAACAGCAGCAGCAGAACGTAGCCGCTAGTGGTAGCAGTAGTAGTAGTCGT